ACTTACAATTTCTGTAATTACCATAATGTAAGTATCCAGATGTATAGTTTTAATTTGTCACTTGAAATGGAACCCTGCCCACGACGTTCATCTACTTAGTAGCGTTTTCTCCGCGACCCCTTGGATTATAATCTGTTTCTAACTGCTGAGCATGCTGGTATAGTTGCGATAATGTGGATCTCATACACGCACAATAGCCAGTCTCACGACGGGAGCATACTATTCATTCCATGTCAACGATCTTGCTCAGTTGACTGCTGCGGGTTATTACGATGGGCTCAAGACCAGAATCTCCTCAATACTGGCAGCTCGCTACTGGTAGATTGTACAAAGCCTGGACCACTTCAAGTTTCTACGCATAGATAGATACCCAATAGCCCACCTACTCCCGGGTCCTGCCACCCTTTTAGCTGTTCATGCCACTCTTTACTCCACTCATATACTAGATTATAGAAAATTGTGGTTTTGAAGCCTGTTACCCTGTGCAGTCCTAGGTTTCATGAATTTGTCAAAAATACAGTTTTACGGCTAGTAAATTACTCAAGTCGCTAATGCTTAAAGCTACCTAGATATACTTAGGTACGTAAACCTCTCATTTCATCTCTCTTAAATCTATACAATAGACCTGGATTGGAGTAAATGTGGACTAAAATGTAGTATTACTAGTCAAAAGAGTGACTGGAGTACGGAGTAGATAGGTGGGCTCTTTTCTAAATTAAGGCACTCTGTGCATACTCTGTTAAGTATTTCGAACTCATAGGGTCGTCTCCAATTGACTCCACAGGCAGCAACTAAGGTTGTCAGCGCCTGGAGAGGGCTCCTGTTTGGTCTACGGGACCTTGTACGTTATGCACATATTGAAAACTACCCGGATATTCAGTATAGACTTATACATATTACAACCACAGAAACTGCAGGTTGTAGAACAATTGACTTATATACATTTTTAATAATTTATACTTAGATTGCCTATCTTTCTATTTTATAATTTCTACTTTTGTACGATGTGTTTTCCCTTATCATGTAGGCAGGTAGGTAATAATGACGTATGTACGTACGGTATAAATATCGCGCTTTAAATGCATGTAGTTACCTAGGTAAGTAAGCGTATGCCTCTAGTGAAGCGCTACCATCCCCCTTGGATCAAGGGTCGGTTACCATTCCGCCCATGTTGATTCTGACGGCTAACACGACAATGTGTACTACGATAAGGGTCTGACTCATAATAAATGACCTGCCGGTATGAAATTATGTTTCAACTCATGATTGACAACACTGTATTCACGTAATATGGCCGACTCACAAGATAATACTACGGGAGAGACACGAGCGAGTGAGACAGATCCCACAGCGAACCCCAAATTTGCGCAGCTAAGCCAACCCGCGCATCTGCGGAGCTGTGTTTTGTGTAGGCAGCGCAAGGTCAAATGTGACCGACGCCAACCGTGCTCCAACTGTCTGGTGTGTAAACAAACCCTCCGTGTCTGATCCTTTGATCTCCTTGCCCCTGCCCCGCGTGATGTAGCAAGTTCTGTGATATGGGATATGGGATTTAAACATCTCAGCTAACGATGTTTTCCATGCACGCAGCGGGCCGGTGCAAACTGCGTTCATCCGCCCGGTGCCGGTCGAGCAGCTAAACGGCCACGCCAAGCTGTGGATGTCAAGGTGCTGGACCGACTTTCCCAGCTGGAGACAACCATCAGGCGCCTGCAACAACAAACCAAAGACCGCGATGCCGAGGCTCACATAACCTCCGAACTCACACCGGCTACGGAGAGTCGGGCTCTCGTTGACGATGAGAGCCAGGAGACCGACGTGGCCACGGAACTGGGCCGCCTTGTAGTTGAAGAGTCTCAGAGTCGCTATGTCAGTAACATAATGTGGGCAGACTTGACGGAGTCGGTTAGTCGTTCAGTCCTCACTGTCGTCGGTTGGAACCTTGAGCTAATTATCATCGAGATCGAGCAATTGCGCGGAATGTTTCTGGATCCTACTCCTAGGGACGAGGACTCCCCCCAGCTTGGTGACAGCCCTCTTTACGATGCAGACTCCCCTAGTTCAGTTCACTCTGGCCCAAATGCAGCCATACTAGGGTACAGATCCCTTACTCATTCTCTGCGTGACTTCCATCCTTCCGTCGAGTTATCTATGAGGCTCTTTCAAGTATTCAATGACAATGTGTTACCCGTGGTGCGCATATTCCACTCGCCGACGTTAATACGTCTATTCTGGAGTGCGGTTGTGTCGCCAGACTCCATTGACAAAGAAACAGAAGCACTTCTATTCGCAATCTACTACGCTGCAGTCATTAGCATAGACCCGAACCAGTGCGTCAACATTATAGGGACACAGCGGTCCGTTATAGTCGAGCGATACAAGTTCGCAGCGGAGCAGGCACTAGCACGCGCCAATCTACTGAATACGCACAGCACGCTGCTCTTGCAAGCGGCCATACTATACATCTCGGTGTTGCGGTCTGATGATGGGACACGCACCGTATGGTCACTCATCGCGCTTATATCTCATCTAGCACGCTCAATGGGCTTCCATCGAGATGGAACTGCATTCAATCTTCCGCCTTTTGAAACAGAGATGCGGCGCCGCATATGGCATCATATCTGCCTTCTTGACCATCGATCTACCGAATATCACGGCTATGAACCTTCATTGGCTGACGTGACAGTTTTCGATACCCGCTGGCCGCTCAATGTGAACGATTCTGACCTTTCCAGCGACATGGTTGAGCCGCCACTCGAGAAGGACGGTGCTACTGAGATGACGCTTATCCACGTTCGATGCCATTCTTGGAGAATCAGTCAAAAGATGAAACGGTGAATAACCTCAATGATTCCACTTATTGTTCTTACCCCCAAATTCATCATATAACAACTATCTATCTTTTCCTGTTCTAGTAGGGTTTCTTCATGTCTCTACCTGTCTGCTGTAGCTGCAAACGTTATGCTGACCTCATACCCAGAGCAAGTCGTCTGCCATTTCATGCTCGTATCCAGCTTATGGACGAACACGACAAATGGGTCGACAAATACGTGGAACGCTGCGATCCAGCTATACCCATACATTATCTCGCGAAGGAAATCAGTTATATATCTGCAGGACGGGTCCGGGCAGCCACATACTACAACGAACTGATGATCCAAAGACGAAAAGGGCAGGCTAACACCCCTCACACTAGCATTACTGACAGCCATAGGGGCTCTGAAGTTGAACCCGATGAGCAATTCCTGAGGGACAAGGTCTTTTCTAGCGCAATCACTATACTCGAAATAACATGCCACATAATGCGAGACTCGCGCCTGGACCGCTGGACTTGGCACTCGCATACCTATGTTCAGTGGCAAACATTAGCTCTCGTCTTGTCAGAGATTTGCAACCGTCCGCCTTCCCCGCAATGCGATAAGGCATGGGATTATGCGACGGCGGTTTATGATAGGTGGCTATCTGTTAAGTTTCGTGACAGAACGGAACAGGGGGATGACTTTTTTCAACCGATGAGTCGACTCGTAGCGAGAACTAAGCGCGTGCGGGAACTGCAACAGGCAGAGCAGCAGCAGCAGCAGCCACATTATCAGGCACAAACACAAATACCGAGACCGGGCGCCAACGAGTTGATTATGCCGGGACAGCCAATGCTGCAGGATATGCCCGAGAGTCAGACGTCACCCAACTTTGAGGGTATGGATACAAGACTCATGCAATCCAACCTAGACTCTACGACCGCAGAGACAAACCTCCCGGATATCTCGCGCAATGACCCGCCCATGTACGGCTTCGAACCCTTCATAGAGATGCTGCCTGACGAGTTACAGGGCGAATGGTTTGAGTCGCTGGCGAGGGGCAACTTGAACCCTCGTAGCCAATCGCCTCAATTTATGTCGACGGGACCTTTCTTCGACTTCTCATAGTCCATGTCTATCCCTCGTAACTAATAGGGATATACTTGAAAGCGCTTAGTTATGGCTGGGTCAGAGCTAGATTAGTAACACCTAAAAGGATTGGGTTACATATATTTTAGACTAGCACAGAAGTGCTCGTAATGATTACGATGAAGATCTAAATGACATTGAAGGGCTGGGTTCAACTATACTGCGATGGCATGGCGAAATACCAGTTTACAGGTGCATGTACTCATATTGCGATAACCACGCGCAAGTATTGGAGACGTCGCGAGATTTTCTCAGCTCATCTCAAGGACTCTGATTTTCTGGGCCAATATCAAGATAAATCCCCGTTGCTGGGCAGCGATTAGACAAAAACCTCTATTTCCATGAACGTGATTCTGTAACAGCTTCTAACTATTATAGCAAAGTCATACTAACAGTCTGTATTCAGGAACAATACTCGATGACGTGTACCCTACTCTACTAGACCAGACAAATTTGAGAGGCCTCTCCCCCAAGTTCTATGTATTGACCCTACAGAGCACCACCAGAAACTTAGACGGCGTCATCCACGTCGTGTCATCTTCATACTAGATGAGGTAGATAGAGATCGTAAGAACTGGGAAATGATTTCACGATACCCTCTTAGAAGCTCTGGAGGCACGACCGCCTGAGGAATACTCACCACGACCGACAGGTTTAATTTGTCTATCAATCTAGGGAGATGAATAAGGCAAATGTGCCTGCCCAGGTAACCTACCTAGGTAATGTGATCCTTTGAAACACCTGCACCTTATTATGTATTGGAAGCCGCTTGGTTCCTCATACAATTCTTGTCTTGTGCAATGTCCTCACTAACTACACTAGTCAAGTGGTCGGTAGGACCCTGAAACCTCTAATATACCTGCATGTATCAACGTGACTTCCTCTTTCCTAGGTGAAATCCACAGTTGCCAATCGTGAGTTCGCATGGGTACCGTACCTGTCTCGGGAGGTAAAACAGGACCACCTTCCTTCACTACAGATCGGGCACCTACTGCCTGCCTATTCAACAACCTTGCCCACGCATTTAATATGGCTTATCGGTTTGTCCTAACAACCGAATTGGTGTAGGGGTCAACACCCAGGATTCTCAGTACTAAACGGAAAATCCTGTGCCAGGAGTTCGAATCTCCTATTCGGTGATCTTTTTATTCCTTTGTTCCCATTCTAGCCACCCCTCCTCCCCCTTTCCATTTTCCTTGTCTCTTTTATTTTGTTGCTAAATCTTTTTCATACTTGCAGCTCAACTATGATAATCAGATGAGCATCAAGACATATATCAATTTTTTTGGCTTAGGATATTGTTTCATTTTGGTTGCTAAGGGGTTCATATCAGCTGTTTCAATACTTATCTAGAAGAGGTGTGGGAACGTTAAGATCTTTTAACAACACTATCATTCTCAGGGCAAGACCACTCAAAAATAGCTCAAGGTAATTATTCATTGTATTCCATTAATAAGGTAGCCGTCATATTCATTTTTGGGTGGAGCTTGAGACTGCACTGACAAAAGAAACAACTGGGTTGATAAAATGCCTGCATTAAAGTAAACCGACACCTACCTAGGTACCTTGAGGTAGTTTACCCTCCATCGCCAACCTTGAACTGCTTTCTAAATTGTATATCTGAGCATTGCACAGCGACTCATCGGGGCCAAGATTGTTGGCAATGAGAACCTAGTCTTATAAAGTATCAACAAACGCTTTCAAGATCCCACGAGCCATGATCGCTGGCACATCTGAAACTGCACCATAAAAGAATATGTGTATACAGCCATAAGTCCTCACGGGTGGTTGTAGACTGACCAATCATAGGGCTCCTAGCACTACATAGTGAATGTACAGCACTACATACAATAACTATACTTGATTTTCAAGCGCCTATTGGAATAATTAGCCACCAAGTTCGCTGGCTGTTGGTATGTTTAATAGGATAGAAAAGAATTTGTTTGGTTCACAGCTTAAAGAACAAAGGAAAAATTATTCCGTGGGTACTTAAGTACTGTCAGTCTTATAATTTTAAAAGAGCTATCACAATGACTGCAGTGTAAGTGTTGCGTAGTTTATATCATGTATGCAGGGAAAAGGCTTAGGCACCTTGAGGGCTAAGTCGGTACCTAGGTATACCTGACGGGGCCTTGCAATAAATACCTAGGTAAAATGATACCTTATGTATATTTGGAGGTAACGCTGGATTAGCATTTGTACTTATCCGTAGGGGTCCAGCGCAGACTATATTTAATGGGCTAGCTACTACCTAACTGCACTCCTTTTGACAACTTTAAAATAACTGTTGCTTTCGACTATAAGAACTCTTTACTATTTCTAGTATTTAAAGTTCTACATGTGTGTGTGTGTGTAAATCCCTGCGTATCTAGACATGCATTGTACCTTCTTCGTACATGCTCATTTTAAAGATCTACGTAGATGTATCTAGATCGTGCTGGCCTACTTCGGACAAGACAACGATAAAGTAGCTACTTAGTTACATAGTATATACTATATAGGTACATTAGGTAAGCCTCTTGCCCCACACTCCCACTACCCACAGTATGATAAGTGTAGGGTAGAGCGCGGGAAGGCAGTACGATTGCGTCAACACGGTGCTACCTATATTACCTATCTACCTACTTCTGCACCTGCTTTACCTACCCCTCCAAACATCTCGCTCCCACTCTCCTGCACCCACGCACCCACCCACGTATCCAGGCAAATGTATGCTGGGCGTACTGAGTTCTGGGCATAAGCTTTCTTCCTTCTCTTCATACCTTCTGCACCACCGAGGTCTCCTCTACCTCGGCGCCTTCCTGGTGGCATCTTCGCGAACCAGCACCTTATTTGTAGCTGGTTCGAACTTTGACCGGCTCTCTTCCATCCATCTCCACGGCTTGACTGGGCATACAATAGGGAGAGAGTGCCACATAGCATAAGGTATCTAGAATACCATCGGCTGCATTACGCTATATTCAATCTACTACCGTTTGTTTCATTATCGTTGTCGAGCATTCCTAATTCTGCTGGCAACAAACACAAATTACTGCGCAGCTTTCACCGCCGTTCTTCACGCCCGCCGTTGCCGACTCGCTAAGAGCACTGTCTCTGCCTCTACCTCGTACGAGCGAAGAGCGAACAAACAATCAGCTACGATTACCTGTCTTTGCACCCTCTGCACCCTCTGCCACCTTATCGACCGTGACCATTAACGCCACTGGCCCGAGATGGACGACGACGTCGATTCCTTTATGTTAGTGACGGGGGTGGCGTCCCGTGATGTCGCGCGCGGATATCTTCAGATATCGGGCGGCGATCTGAACCGGGCCGTCACGGCCTATTACGAGAATCCCGAATTAGAGTCCAGCTTCAACACTGCGTCTTCTGCCCCTAGAACATCTTCACAACAGCGAGGTACCTCGTCTCGCGCTCGTAGCAGCGGTCTCACGGGGCGGGAGGATTCTCACGGGGTTGTGCACATTGATTCTGATGATGACGACGACGACGATATTCGAATGCTTGAAGATGATGACGACAGCGCAGATGTCGCTTCTATAGCCAGAAATGCCCAAGAAGAGGAGGATGCTGCTATGGCCAGGCGACTACAAGAAGAACTCTACGGCTCTGGTCCAGGCTCAGGCGGAGTTGATGACGGTGTACGGGCTCCTATAGCACAGACGACAGAGACATTAGCCGGCCCCGACTTGGCATGGACTATGGAAGAGGATCGAGACGATGCTGTGCTGGAGCAGCTACGAGCCCGTCAAGCTCGTCAAAGACGGCAAAGTAAATTCATCCCAGCACATCTCGCCTCTGTATACTAATTTGTCCCACAGATCGGAATCCCAATCCTTTTGACCAGACACCCTCAATATGGGATGACGCAAGTGCGCCACCATTACTACCGAACACGCGATCTGACCAGAACCCTGCATCCCGAGCTGCGCTGCTACGTGATCTCTTCCGCCCGCCCCATGAATTGATAAGTGACGCCACATGGGATGAAGCTAGAGACGAAGGCAAAGAAGAGAAAAAATGGATCATGGTTAATCTCCAGGATCTAGAGATATTTCAGTGCCAAGTTTTGAACAGAGATGTGTGGAAGGACGAGAAGGTCAAGGCTTTGATTAAAGAACACTTCATCTTCTTGCAGTACGACAAGAATGAGCGGAGAGCCCAATCATACGTTCAATTGTACTTCCCAAACGGCACTCACGAGAATAGTGACAACTATCCTCACGTTTCCATCATTGACCCTCGGACGGGGGAGCAGGTCAAGGTGTGGTCGGGATCGACTTTCCCTAAGCCGAGCGAATTCTACGGCGACCTAATTGAGTTCCTCGATCGGTACAGCTTAGCAGCTAACAGCAAGAATCCAGTCGTCCAATCGAAGCCAAAGCGCCAACCGATTGACATTGGGCGCTTAACAGAAGACGAAATGCTTCAGTTAGCTATGCAGAACAGCCTAGAGAATAATGGCGGCTCGTCGGGATCCAGTGTACAGGATCCAGACATGCTCACTAAGGTCAGCGACGATACCGGCAAAGGAAAGGGCAAGGCGACGAACGAAGTAGTAGACCTCACGGGTGACTCAGCACAACCGCTTCCCGGGAGCTCTGATGACATAGCTGAGTCCGTCTTTTCTCGAATTCCATCAACCAACCCGCATACAGAGCCAGAGAACAATCCAGCGACAACAACTAGGATACAGTTTAGACACTCCGGGGGGCGTATTATACGCCGTTTCACAGTGGCAGATGCGGTTCGTCGTATTTACGAGTGGTTAAAGGCGGAGCCATTCGAAGGCAAGGAAGGCGTTGTGTTTGAGCTCAAGGCGATGCCTGCAGGCGCGGATCTGATCAACGAGCTCGACAAAACTATCGAGGAGGCGGGTTTAAAGCAGGGTACTGTCATGATCGAATTCATTGAAGATTAGACTTTGATTTAGATTGCATAGTGCGTGGGTACAGGTCGATAATAATGCGTCTTCTGGCGACGGAGGCCAGGGGTTTGCGTCGTCTCGAAAAGGCCTCTGGGAGTACATTGTTGCCCATAGACAGATCTCGGGGCGGTGGGCGGCTCAGTCAGGAGTTTTGGTAGTCATCGCAAATCAAGGAATAAGCAAAGATATACATACTTACATTCATGCTTAACTGCTCCTTTCTCTCTTTCATACTCTTCCATACTAGTGGTCCCTCTGCCGACACCGAACTTATAATTGCATCTAAAGTAGAAATCCAGGGAGGGATTGCAATATAGCGACCAACTGTGGGTTGACCGCCGCAATGGCATACACTGATCTATTACACTCCACGGAGTCTTCAAATACCATTGGACATTCAGATAGGTAAGGTAGGCTACCAATTGGTTCACATTTCAGTAGATACTTAAATAGAAATACAACAAAAAAGAGAAAAAGAGAAGGTACAGGAGGAATTTAACCTCCGAACGATGGACTCGCGGGGAATCGAACCCCGGACCACTCCCATGCTAAGGGAGTATTATACCACTAAACCACAAGCCCGTGTGGATGTATGTCAGATTGACCATAAAATGGGATATTGACCGACAGGCTGTTCAACTTGAATAGCAATACTAGTTTCATCGTAGAATACTGCCTTTAAAGACCACCATCTTAACGGAAGACCAAATAGTATGTAGACAAGATGGAACAAGGTAACATTGCACGTGAGACCCGTCATTACTACAGTAAACTGCACATGGAGGCATCACGTAACTGACTTGATTCAGAGTATTACCTACTACGTATACCGCAACCATTCAATGCATACCGCTCGCCTCTCTCCGCAGGTCTCTACAGAATATCGATTTCTTTCGAGTCCCAATCAGCAAACAAGATGTCTTTCACATGTTTGTCTTCGGAAGATAGGAGGCCCAGTCTACGGTACGCCATCAGTTTCGACCGCTCCTCTTCTAGGACCAGAGCAGTAAACCGGAGGTTGTCAGAGGTCTTCTGCACATGTAACAGAGCACACCAGACCTCGGTGTCCCCGGTTCTTATCCCAGGCTGAGTACAAATCGGCCGGTCCAAAGCAGCTTCTCCGACGAAGCGGTCCGATCCCAATTCGAAGATGCGGGCTGAAAAACGCGGATGCTCCTTCCTGGTCATCGTGATCGCATCAGCACCGGAATA